GGGAGAAGGAAAGGGAGGGAGGGAGGGGGGGAGGGAGGGAGAGAGAACAAGAAAGTAAGTGGTTGGCCATATGGGAATCCAGTGCCTCAACCAGTGCCTCAACCAGTGCCTCAACCATGCCACCGCTGGCCTGGGAAGAAATATTCTAAGCAAGGCAAGAATGAAGCCACTTGTTACTTGTATCTTAGGCAGTTACAGTCCCACTTGGGGCAAACTATTTTAAGTGCAGGGCAATACAGTGGTCTCGTGATAAAAATTACCTAAGCAGAGACTCTCTCCAAAGAGAGATCAGTCTTTTCAAATATAAAACTGTATCAAGTCAGGCCCTTGCTTAAAACCACTCAATGGCTTTCTACTACATTATGAATAAATTCCAAACTTCTATCCATGGCATACATGCCCTGGCTCATCTGTTCTCTGCCTAGCTTTCTGACCTCACATTATTCCAGTCTATTTCGCTCAAAATGCTCCATTCAGGATTTAAAGTATTTTAACACACTTTTGGAGATGGCTCTCTCTCAATCTCTCCCAAATTTTAAGACTTGGGAACAAAGATACTGACTGCCTTTGTTGCAGTCTATATTTTCAAGGCTGTTCTAAAACAAACAGGCTCAGAAGACTGGAGCATGGGACAGGCGGGTTCACAGCTGGTTTTCAGGGGCCCTAAACTCAGAGTTCCTCTCGTGTAATTGCCATATACTAGCAATTTCTACCTGATTCTCTTCTTGCTACCTGTGGGAGCTACAGATCAGGGAACCAACAGAAATGCTTAGACTTGGCTACTGCCATGAGTAAACTGTCCTTTGTCTAGGAATCTCGGGTCTTCTGTCAGCATCCTTGAGTCCATAGCAGGCTAACTTTTTAGCTTGTTAAGTACCATAAAATCTCAAATCTTTTGGAATTCTTAGGCTGTTTTCAGGTTAATGACTCTGAACACAGTGTTTCTTCTGCCTAAAATACTTTCCCCTCTATTTGTATCTCAAATGATTCACATCTTTTAGGAATGAACTCGTGTGTCATGTTCCCAGAGGTACCTGCCTCTCCCAACTCAACAACCAGTTTTTTTTCTTCCCAGAGAGAATTCTCCTATAGGACATGTGTGCCTGCCAGAGAGAGACAGAGACAGAGATAGAGAAACCAAGAAGTCACCCCCATGCCGCAATCCTCCTCCTCCATTTTTATCTCAGGATTTTGGGCATACACATGCCAGGCATGAACAACCTCCTTTTTATTCCTAGATTTTCTCATAATTTATAATAACGTGTTTGTGTTTTATTGGTTAATGTTTGCCTCTATGATTAGAAAACGCAGATAGTTGTTCTGTTCACCACTATATATTCACAGCCTTGCCCACTGCCTGATGTAACATCTGACTGACTGAATAATGCTCAGCGAGTACCTCTCCCTTTCTTTACTCTAAATTACAGAAGCAGATTTTTAAATGTATGCATTTTTATAATTAAAAGTTAAGAATATACAAACCTGAACTATCATCTTACTAGTTTTAAATGAGGTTTAGGTTCAATGCAAGAGCTTAGGAATACCAGGTTTTCCTGCATTCAAAAAGGACGATTCCCAAATAGGAGGCTCACTAGACTTCTGTTGCGTCCACAGCATTTCCTTCCCGGACATCAGCAGCCAAGCAAAACTAATAAAAGTTAATCCTGTTGGGTTTTTCTGTCTTCCCTACTATGCTGGGGCACACCGAACAGAGGCACCATTGGACAGGATTATATTTGTTTATCTTCCTCAGGACCAGAAAAAAAGTAAGAGGATGCTGCATGTATTGTTCTTACTTAAAAGCCATTTATCTCGTTTTGTTAAAAATGACAGGTTATCCCTTCCTACTCACCATCTATAAAAGTACTAAAATTATTTTGGGAGGAATCATTTCTTAAAGAAAGCTTTTACTTTATTTGCTGCAGTTGTTTTAAAAACTAATTATATCCCACTAACACTGAGAACACTGAAACTATCATTGTTTAAGCAATCCTAGAAATATCCTATTCGACTCACACAGCCTTCAGGTACAGGACATGAAATCTGTAACTACCATTACTTGACTAGATCAAAACTTCAATTTTTTCCCTTCCTGTTTTTTTTTAACTACCAAAGGGTACATACACTTGTCCAATAGAAAATGTCCCAATGGGGCATGGTCAGGTTGTACTATTTTTTTTCTATTTCTCCTTTCCATCAGGATTTTGGATATGCACACGTGGCTAGAATGTTTCTCAAGCCACCAGGTGGGCTCAAGCTCCCCTATGGGGTTGGCCAAACCTAGGATTTCATAAATAATTTTCTTTCTTTCTTTCTTTCTTTCTTTCTTTCTTTCTTTTTTTTTTTTTAAAGTTTTTGCCATAGGACACATGCACTCACTTGTTGCACTTGCTGGAGACAGAGAGAGACAGGGAAAGGAAAAATGATAAACCAACCTCTAGGGAGAATGGCCGTGCTGCAATTCTTTCTCCACCACTCTCCTCCTGGAATTATTTTTTTTAATTTTTTTTTTTTTTAAGAGGTTTTTGCTATAGGGTGCATGCGCTCACCAGAAAGATGGAGACAGAGAAAAAGAAAACGAGAAATCACCCCCCGGGGGGATGGCCACACCGCAATCCCTTCTTCCTCCATTCTCCTCTCAGGATCTTGGGCACGCATGCACACATGCCCAGAGTGAGTTTAAGCCACCGGGTCCAGGACTTGAACCGCGGTTGGCTACACGGGAGTCCAGCGACATAGCCATTACACCAACTGCTGGTCCCTCCTCCTGGGATTTAGGGCATGCACACATGCCCAGTGCAATTTTTAAGCCAGCCAGGTCCAGAACTTGAACTGTGGTTGGCCATGTGAGAATCTAGAGAGCCTTAACCACCACACTATCTGCTAGCCCAAGTTTCTCACTTTTAAAACAGTTAAGTAAGAGTTTTTACCACTAAGTTTATCTTATTGAAGTGAATAAAAATGACTGAACCCAACTGCCTGCCTGGAAGTTCTATGAGGACAAGATTGTATTTATCTTTGCTGTTACTGTTCTGCATATTATAAGGGCTCCATGGAAAGGTGTTTAATGACACTTACCATTAAGAATATCTTCAAATCCAATGGTCTCATCATTACCCCTCAAAATATCCAGCGAAAGGTTTGAGCTTGACAAAAATGGAAGGCGCTGAACCTTTGGGAAAAATACAATAGGACAAGATTTAAAAAAAATAAAAAGGTGGGAAAAGTATAATCCAATTTCATGTCCATTATTTGAAAAAGCATACAAAACTAAGTAAAATATCAATTTGGGAACCAGCAGTTAGCGTAATGGCTATGTCGCTGGATTCCCACGTAGTCGACCGCGGTTCGTGTACCGGACCCGGTGGCTTAAAACTCACGCCGGGCGCGTGTGCGTGCGTGCCCAAGATCCCGAGAGGAGAATGGAGGAGAAGGGATTGCGGCGTGACCATCCCCCCTGGGGGGTGAGTTCTCGCTTTCTGTCTCTATGTCTCTCTCTGTCTGTCTGGCGAGCGCACGCGCCCTATAGCGAAAATCTCTCCAAAAAAAAAAAAAAAACTAAGTAAAATATCAATTTAACCAGTGAAGAAAAAAAACAGTTCATATTTTAGACACGAACCAAGTTTTAAGAAAAATTTCTTGGGGCCAGCAGGTGATGTAGTGGTTAAGGGCGCTGGACTCCCACATGGCTGACTGTGGTTCAAGTTCTGGACCTGGTGGCTTGCTTTCTCACTTTCTCTCTCTTCTCACTCTGTCCCTCTGAGGTTAAATTAAGAAATATAAATAAAATAAAATAAAATAATTCTTTAAAAAAAATTTCTTAAAACTTTATCCAAAATATATTGAGATAGCAATCTCATCAGGCTTGCACGTATCTTGAAGCTTTGCTTTTGCCTAGGAAAAGTACAGCACACACCATGGTGAAATGAAATACCAGAGCCTGATGCCATGCTTCGTTTTTGGTATGTGTCGGATAACCAAAACTATGAAGAAATTCCAACGGAGAACATCATTCTACTTATTAAATGTATTACAGCATTTTGTAGGCCGTTTTGTATTGCTCACAGTACAAATACAAGGTATAACCCTTTCAAATACTACTAGTAACCAGAAATGTAGATCAACGAAACTGTGGAGCCTTTAAAAACATAATGCCGTTTCTATATAATGTTATCTCTTTTTTCCAGCATTAAATATCCTTACTGCAGACTGGTACTAAGTACAGTAAAGAAAATATAGGCTGTAGGTGCACAACGATCTGGATTCAATTTCTGACTTTATCATTTAATAATTGTATGGCTTTGCACAAATTACCTCATCCATTCCTCATCTATGAAATAGGGTAATACCACCTTCCTCTCAAAACTGTGGTATGGAGGGACCAGCAGTTAGCATAATGGCTATGTCGCTGGACTCCCATGTAGTCGACCGCGGTTCACGTCCTGGACCTGGTGGCTTAAAACTCACGCCGGGCACGTGTGCGTGCGTGCCCAAGATCGCGAGAGGAGAATGGAGGAGAAGGGACTGTGGCATGACCATCCCCCCGGGGGGTGATTTCTTGCTTTCTATCTCTCTGTCGGGCGAGCACACACGCCCTATAGCAAAAACCTCTCAAAAAAAAAAAAAAAAAATTGTGGTATGGAACAGTGTAAACTACATATACCATAGAGTCATTGACCCATAGTCGGTACTCAGCAAACTTTAATGTAGCCAAACTAAATTTTCAGTTTTTCTGTTCTTTGCCAGCTGTTAAAACTGAATCAAGACAGGTAATTTTAGATATTCCTAAAAGACTACCAAAAGGATAAGAGGTGCTACGTGACTAAATGATACTGGCATTTTAAAAATAATTATACCTTTAGAATCTAAGAAGGCAGTTATGCTCAGATTTTTTTCCCAAATGTATCCAGACTAATGGCCTATATGATCATTTCGATCTTCACAGTGTGGGAAAATTTCTCTAACCTAAGGAAGAAAAGGCAGTAGGACTGGAGATGAAAAGGGAGGAAGGGGAAGAACAGAAATAGGAGCCTATAAATCAAACCAGACAGCAGAGTCTGGCAGGTAGGCATATTGGGGGTACAGTCCTGAGAAGTCATCAGCAGCAGGAA